AAGTGTGTAAGGGGATTGATAGTCTTGTGTGTAAGGTGATGGGGAGTCTTGTGTGTAAGGAGATTGGATGTCTTGTGTATAAGAAGAATGGGAGTCTAGTGTGAAAAGAGATGCGATGTCTGTTGTGTATGGAGATTGAGAGTCTGGTGTGTAAGGATATGGGGAGTCTGGTGTGTAAGGAGATGGGGAGTTTGGTGTGTAAAGAAATAGTGAGGCTGGTGTGTATGGGGAGTCTGGTGTGTAAGGTGATGGGAGTCTGGTGTGTAAGGAGATGGTGAGTCTGGTGTGTAAAGAAATAGTGAGTCAAGTGGGTAAGGGGATTGATAGTCTTGTGTGTAAGGTGATGGGGAGTCTTGTGTGTAAGGAGATGGGAAGTCTGGTGTGTAAGGTGATGGTGAGTCTGGTGTGTAAGGTGATGGGGAGTCCGGTGTGTAAGGAGATGGGGAGTCTTGTGTGTAAGGAGATGGGAAGTCTGGTGTGTAAGGTGATGGGGAGTTTGGTATGTAAGGAGATGGGGAGTCTTGTGTGTAAGGAGATTGGATGTCTTGTGTGTAAGAAGAATGGGAGTCTAGTGTGAAAAGAGATGCGATGTCTGTTGTGTATGGAGATTGAGTGTCTGGTGTGTAAGGATATGGGGAGTCTGGGGTGTAAAGAGATGGGGAGTCTGGTGTGTAAGGTAATGAGGAGCCTGGAATGCACGGTGATGAAGAGTGTGGTGTGTAAAGAGATGGGGAGTCTGGTTTGTAAAGAAATGAGGAGTATGGAGTGTAAGGTGATGGGGAGTCTGGTGGGTAAGGTGATGGGGAGTCTGGTGTGTTAGGTGATGGTGAGTCTGGTGTGCAAGGAGACGGGAAGTCTCGTGTGTAAGGTGATGGTGAGTCTGGTGTGTAAGGTGATGGGGAGTTTGGTATGTAAGGAGATGGGGAGTCTTGTGTGTAAGGAGATGGGGAGTCTGGTGGGTAAGGAGTTGGGAGGTCTTGTGTGTAAGGATGTGGGAAGTTTGGTGTGTAAGGAGATGGGGAGTCTGGTGTGCAAGGATGTGGGAAGTCTGGTGTGTTAGGTGATGGTGAGTCTGGTGTGCAAGGAGACGGGAAGTCTCGTGTGTAAGGTGATGGTGAGTCTGGTGTGTAAGGTGATGGGGAGTTTGGTGTGTAAGGTGATGGGGAGTTTGGTGTGTAAGGTGATGGGGAGCCTGGTGTGTAAGGAGATGGGGAGTCTGGTGGGTAAGGAGTTGGGAGGTCTTGTGTGTAAGGATGTGGGAAGTTTGGTGTGTAAGGTGATGGTGAGTCTGGTGTGTAAGGTGATGGGGAGTTTTGTGTGTAAGGTGATGGGGAGTCCTGTGTGTAAGTAGATGGGGAGTCTTGTGTGTAAGGAGATTGGATGTCTTGTGGGTAAGAAGAATGGGAGTCTAGTGTGAAAAGAGATGCGATGTCTGTTGCGTATGGAGATTGAGAGTCTGGTGTGTAAGGATACGGGGAGTCTGGTGTGTAAGGAGATGGGGAGTCTGGTGTGTAAGGTGATGGGGAGTCTGGTGTGTAAAGAAATAGTGAGTCTGGTGTGTATGGGGAGTCTGGTGTGTAAGGAGATGGGGAGTCTGGTGTGAAAGGAGATGGGGAGTCTGGTGTGTAAGGAGATTGGGAGTCTGGTGTGTAAAGAGCTGGGGAGTCTGATGTGTAAAGAGATGGAGAGTCTAGTGTGTAAAGAGATGGGGAGTCTGGTGTGTAAGGTGATGGGGAGTTTAGTGTGTGAGGTGAGGGGGAGTCTGGTGTGTAAGGTTATTGAGAGTTTAATTTGTTAAGATATGGTAATTTTTATGTTTTACAGTACTCACTTCCTCCATTTCAATTTTTTTATATCAATTAATAAAGATTATTATCAATGATCTTGAATTGTGAGATACTTTAAGGTTAAATTAACATATTTGATATCGTTGTTAATACCATGACTAGAGATACCTTATGCCTTTTACAGCTTCGTTATTGTGCATTATTGGAAAATGTTTTACAAGACTGAATAAAGTGCTAGTTGTTTTTGATAAATATAGTCAAGTTTTTTGGTTTTTTTTACGTTTGTTGACAGAAATTAATTCAGTCTCTTAGACGGCATTTTAATTTTGCTGAAAAAAAAAGTGTAAGGAACTCAAAACCATTAAATTATGATTTTTATTACTGATTCTGATCGTCACTTTTTGATCATTTTGTTAATTTTTTAGACATAATTTTTATACTTTATATACCCCTTCCCTCTATTTTATTTTGATCTTTTCTGCATTGTTTTGGAAACTTAACGGCCCTGAGTCTGTAAAGCATTTTTCCTTGAATTTCACTACAAGGTACAATGATGCGTTCTGGTTTTCCACTAATTTCTGGAAGTCTTTCACAATGTTTTTCGTTCCATACGATAGAGATACACATATCATAATTTGGTCTAGATTTATAGGGTAAATAATTAACTTTACGTGTGTGAGACATATGCCCCCCTTGGAATTTACAATCCTGTTCTAATGAATGACAGAAGCGATGAATGATAAGCTTTAAGAATAGATCTATATAGATCGTAATCTACAAAACAAGCGGTAACACTATCGTGTCATTTGGACGTATAGACATCAATGCTATCTTAACACCATCTCCCAAACCTGTGTTCGCTGTCAAAGTATGCCGTTCCGTGTGTTTAGTCTTACCAGATCCGTCAGTCGTGACTATACAAACGTACCATGGAGCCATACAAGTATCAAGGATCCTCGAAACGATGCAAAAAAAAAAAAAAAAATATATATATAACGTTAGTGCAGGCAAATTCGTCACATTAGTAAGGGTTTAAGTTAATAATTCGTCCAAATACGCATGTATCAAAATGGCAACGAGCACCAATACAGAAAAAGATCCGACTGAAATTCCTATAAATAAGCATTGTTGTAAAAACGCCTGAATGACGTCACTTAGCAACATAGGTGACGTCATCAGACCTTCAGTGGTTTTGCTCAAAGGTGCAGGCAGTTTCGCCACCTTCAAACATTTCACTAATTTGCAAGTTATGTAAGTGTTTAAATGTAAAATGTTGTATGCTTATGTTACACAAGTCGTGCTGATACGAACAGCTCCAAATGTGTGTATGTAACAATGATTGACATTGAAATAGATGTGTTTTCTTAGCTGTGATACTTCATTTTCGGTAACTTGAAGAAACCGATCAATGCTGTGTGAGTAAAGATGGCTGGGGTCGGCTGAGATGAGGTGAATCTACATGCATCGCAATGTAGACTCAGTCATGAACAAATATAAACTTCCAAATCGGTGCCCAACATTAATGTTTTCATCGGGTCCGGATAAGAGGGCCCATGGCTTTCAACAGTCTTCCCCCCCTCCCCCCGACTTTTGGAGAATTTGTCACATATGCATATCTCCGATCGTCAGAGTAAAAGCAAGTAAAACGATTTGTTTGTGCTTAAAAACTTATTGAACAGAGACTGCCTCAGGTGTTGTAAATGTATTAACATTTCCATGTAAAAACCAGTCTGTGGTAACAACGCTATATAGTTGTCGGTCTCTACGTACACTCATCATGCGATTGTACAGCAGTACATTTAGGCCGACATCAATTTCTTTTCAGATATAAATCTAGAAAATTTCTAGATGATTATTAAAGTGTTCTAAGATTGCTGAATGTTTGACGCAAACAATACTTTTAAAAAGATATTGGTTGATAGTTTTCTACACACACATTGCATGAAAATGGAAAATGAGTTAGCAAGTCTTTCCGAACTTCATTTCCATAAACAGTCGTCAGTACATTGTATGTACCAAAGTAAACTTGTAGAAAACATTTTACTTTCAATGACGGCTCAGTCAACCATAAAACTGCATATCAGCTTTGATATATGGGTATTTTCAATTTGTATGTAATGCATTTACACTAAATCACAACCAACAGGCCTTAGATTAATGAGTTTAGATGACGAGATGTCCGTCGCACAGACCAAATATTTAAGATTCGGTATGCAACAAGATATTTCAAAACTGTTTAAATTAATAATGTAACTTTTCCCTTCTTATACTTCTTCTTGTCAAAATATTTGAAAGCTATAACTGTGTATATTTACATTTGCGCTGCAACTCACTATATGAACATTACCAGTAGACATACATTTCATTTGAGTGTGAAAGCAGAAACTCTCGTGACGTGACACGTGGTTTAATTATGACGTTATATTATTAACCTTGTTCAATGAGAGTCTTGTCGCTTCGCTTCGGACAACATGGAGAATATAATGCGTCAAACGCTCAAATGACTACGTTTAATTTTTGGCGCCAATTTGATTTAAATACGGCTGTTCCGCCAATGTCGTTAAAAGGACGACTCATATATAAAACGTAGTAATTAAATTTATTATTTAAGAAAAATTTAATTAAATCAAACGATTTTACTATAGTCAAAATGTAAACATATGGATTGAACGTCGTTTTTTAAAACTTTCATGCCGGTATGAAGGTATGAATGCAAATCGGTTACATCCATATTAAACATAAAGCCCTAGCGGGCTTCATGCATTATGAATGTAACCGATTTGCGTTCATACCGGCATGAAAATAAAATAAAACGCTGTTCAATTCCTATTGAAGACTATGATGACGTTATTTACGTCACATCTTATGTATTATGACGTCATATGGCGAATTTGCCAGCACTAACGTTATATAGCTAGGCATTAGCTTGTGCTCAAAACAACTGGCTTGTAATGTGGGCTTGAGCACAGAATATCATTTTGAGCATGATAACAGGTTCATGAGTACGGGCCACGGACTTCAAATTCCCGATACTGTCAATTGAGCTACCTGGTCAACTGACGTCCACTAGCCTATTTGCGCTAAAGGACATGAAGTTTAGGTTTCTTTATATACGAAAAACTACAGTAGAGTTCTCCAGTGTTTTTTGCTTGCCAGCGGGACAGGGATTCTTTAAGATATCATATCTGGTAAACCGATCGGTCGCGGATCACCGATCGATTGCAGATCACGGATTGGTCCCGGATCACTAGATCTGTGTTCATGTGTTACAAATCACCGGGCTAATCAGAGAAGTTCATGAGCGACAATGACAGCGAAGAGCGTTAATTGATTTACACACATGGTATTATTGTATATGACTTTGCGATTTGTCCTTCCTTGACCGGGGAAAAATCGTCCACCAAACAATAAAATTAACCTGCAATTAATGTAAACATTCCACTCGTGTGGACTATGATCTTATCCAATGCATGTACCTTATTGCGAGGCAAATTTGATAATCAAGATAAGTCTCGTTCTGTTCCTAACTTTTGCAATTTCCTGACGTGAAAACAGAATCAGAACCGTTCTAATTGTTTTATGAATATGAATTTGAAAAGCTGTTATTAGTATTTCTCTAGGTGAATGCACGGATTTATCGTCCCCGGTCATTAACATTTAATCGGCCTTTTAACGTCGGTATCGGTTCCGAATCATGACGACACCGACACCGTCAGCTCAATCGTCGAAATCATTTTAGCTGCCTGGGCCCGTATTCATGAAACCATTCTCATACTCCAACTCAGATTCTGTGTTCAAGTCAAATTCGCTGTTCCTTTAGTAAATTCATAAAAACTCACATTTTGTCATTGATTTGAAAGAATTTTGGAGGGACTGAAAGAAGAGCAACATTTTCAAAGTTTTCATGTGACTTTTTGAGAATCCGTGCTTGAGCATGAGGACATTTCCATGATTATCGGCCCTGGTGTTGTCTAAAAATAGTCGACCTCGTGCCAGATTTGTGTTGCCGCAAACTTTGACTTCGAAGTTGCTTCATTTTTGTGCTATCGCCAGCTCTGACGTTGACATCAATCCAGACCCATGTCATTCACCCCTACATACTTACCAAACTGGACTTGCCCAGTCTTTGATTTGGTAAGGTTCAAATATGACTTTAGGGGTGAATGGGTTAATCAGCGTTGATGTCAGTATCGAGAAGGCTTCTAAATGTATTATCGACGCTGAATCAAACTTGCTCTGTCGACATCGGTCATGAGGCCAGTGTAGTCATCAGTTCACGCGTCACTTTCGCTGTCGTCGACTCTGACGTCGAAATCCGTTCAGGGTCGTGCTGTTGTGGTCACATGACGTCGGCATCAATTCAACGCTCGTGCTATCGATTCTTTTGGGAAATCGATTTGTAAATTCAACAGGATCTGTTAGACGTTAATGTCAGGCAAACGTAAAACAGAAATAATTCGCTAATTAAACTTACATGTGGTGTTTCCTGTATGATGTTGAAACGTAGAAAAAAACGTCCTTTATTGATAGTGAACCACATCACCATACCTGCAAGAATTGTGACAGGAAGAAATAATTATCAGTACACTCCAATTAGAAAGCGAGTCATATGTCGGGGAGCATGGCGCAGGATACAGGGCGGCATGGTGCGCTTTGCTGGCCGATAAGAGCTTTTGAATGCGTTATACCGGAAGTAAACATGCATCCGTGACGTCGGAAACCATTGTGTGAAGCGTTCAAATAATTAAGCATTGTATTGATGAAGAATGAATTGTGTAGATAGGTGATTATAGATAATGTTACAGTATTCATTGCAGGTACCTAAAGTAGGAATTTAAAAATAATAAAAATAAACATTGTACTTTTAGACATTGATCTGAAAAGCAAACTTAGCGTTAATTGATTATGAAAATAACTGATTGTAAAAGAAAAAGTCAGACTTGATTGGTAAAGTGAATCCCACTGAACAGAGCGACTATTGGTACAGCTGTATGGAGTATGTATTTCTACTCGGTTATATCACCTTGTTTTATTCTATTTGGAGTAATGGATAGCGCGTCGGAGTATTGATTACAGGCGTAACACATTTGTACTGTATGTTGTATGGTAGTTTTTAGGCATGTGGTTACCTATGACAACGCCATCCAAAATACATGCCGTTTTACGTAAAGAAATAATAATATCATAAAACACTTTAAAACTAGAATTATGTCAGTGTGACATTAAAGCCGCTCACCACTTTAAATTTAGTTGCTTCAGTAACACGTTGAGCATCAATATCTACTATAATACCTCAGATATGAGTTTTGTATTCTGCTAATTGACAATCAGGTCATGTGATGGTGTTGCCTTTGGAATTTCCAAAATCAATCACCTCTTAAATGATGCATTAAAAACATTTCTCCCTCTCCTCTTTTTTCACCCTCTTTAAGTGTGGCGCATTGTTGTAATTTTCATTAATTAGCAGAATGGCAATCGGTGAATGGATAATAAAGAATAGGTGCATTTTGTGCTTGTGAAATGAAGGATAATTAACAGTAGTGGGAAAACATGCATGGAGAAAAGTGACATTGTACTCTTTTTCGTTTTCTTTATTCATATTAGTTATAATTATTAATATATGTAGTGACTTTATTTACTGTCATTGAATATACAAAATCTCACAAATGTTCTTGGAATATATTTGAATTATATTTCTCAATGCGATTTTACCAACGTAAGAGTTATTTCCCTTACACCGGATTGGATACTATTTTGACACGGCAAACAGCAGCGGCAGTTGTATCATGTTGTTAAATTGTTTCACTTTCAAAAATAAATACACCAGAAATAGCATGCTGTGTTAAAGAAATTTTTGATTGGCATACACAGTTCACATATCGTCTCGTCTCAGAGTCATTACCGTTATCAACCTAAGCACGATATTACGTTCCCGTTTGAAACATCAAAATAGAGGTTATACTTCATCACTCATACGGTTTATAAGTATATATATTCACTTCTTCCTTCTACAGACAGTCTGCACATGTGCTTTCTCGAATCATATGTGTTTCACACGCGTAACACTCCTCAGTCCTCAATCCGAGTTGCTAAAAGTAAAACGCTCAAATCTAGTGCACGAATTTCACCACCACAACACTCGTAGAATGCACCGGAGATAAACATGTTGTTTTCAGCAATTATTTAAAGTATGGATTATTATTTGGAGAAGAGTATCAGGAGACTTTATGTAACCCACAGGTGAGTATCGGAGATTCTACTTTCTATTTACGATAACAAAACTATAGAGCGGCTTAAAAAGATCAATGCAATAAAATATTAGAAAATCTCTAGATGGATTTGACCTACTTCACATTAAAGTGCTGAATTAATATTTGTGTTTAACTGAAGACTAGTTAATTGATGTCAATTACTACTTCCAGGTTTAAAACATCGAGGATGAAAAGCAGATTATTTAAAATGTGTACATGTATTTGTAAACTGACACACTAAAAAACCAGGCTGGGATGTTGCATTACAGTTTTAGAGTTAAAAAATCCCGGTATCTTAGCAAAATAAAACTTGCCAAGTGACTTCATAAATTTTGCTACAAAATGACAAGAGTATGGGAGTTATTCCCCTTGCATCAACAGATTCAGATTATTTTATTCCTAATGTACATCGTACAAATTATAGTCAAATACAATCTGATGCATATTGTACAATGGCATACGTTAACAATACAGTATACTAATTAATCGTACAGTACGACAAAATGACATACATCTTAAGAGACAGCATATTACACTGAAATGACATACATCATAAGAGACAGCATTTTACACTGGAATGACATACATCATAAGAGACATCATATTACACTGGAATGACATACATCATAAGGGACAGCATATTCCACTGGAATGACATACATCATAAGGGACAGCATATTACACTGGAATGACATACATCATAAGGGACAGCATATTACACTGTAATGACATACATCATAAGAGACAGCATTTTCCACTGGAATGATATACATCATAAGAGACAGCATATTACACTGGAATGACATACATCATTAGAGACAGCATATTACACTGGAATGACATTCATCATAAGAGACAGCATATTACACTGAAATGACATACAGCATAAGAGACAGCATATTACAGTGGAATGACATACATCATAAGAGACAGAATATTCCACTGGAATGACATACATCATAAGGGACAGCAGATTACACTGTAATGACATACATCATAAAAGACAGCATTTTCCACTGGAATGATATACATCATAAGAGACAGCATATTACACTGGAATGACATACATCATAAGAGACAGCATATTACACTGGAATGACAAACATCATAAGGGACAGCATTTTACACTGGAATGACATACATCATAAGAGACAGCATATTACACTGGAATGACATACATCATAAGAGACAGCATA